TAGATTACAGCTATTCATGGCTCTTACACTGTTACCATGTTTTACAGCCATGCCCCACACTATAACTGGGTACTGATACTCAGGTGCTTCCTACCACCCCTGGTTCAGGGCACATCTGGGGTTTCAGACCAGAAGAGCATCACAAGAACACTGCAAGAAGTCATGACACAATGGTCAAAAAGAAGCACGTGCATAAGGCAAGCCTCTCCTTTTAACAAAGCTCTCAAACAAGTTTTTAATCATATTCTTAATAAAGCCAATGCTTAATTTCAACCACTTTATTACTATAGTGGCATTATCTACTCATATAGAAGAAAAAAAATACAGTATTTTACCTCAACATGGATTAAAAGAAGGACTGTGTTAGGTCACATAAGATGCATTCCAGTGTTCAGCAGTGTTAGACCAAAAAAAATAACCTTTTCCAAATTGCCTGGAAACACCATATATTAGAATTGTATTCAGTGTAATCACACACAAATATCAACATATAGAAAACTAAGACTAACTTAAAAATTTTGCTACAATGTTTGAATAATATATTTGGACTCATATATTGACAACAAGGACAAAAAAAAAATCTAAAAAAATCATGGCAGCAAATACAAACATATGCTTAGCATATAAGCAATTCTTACTAAACTATAAATCACTAATGAAATTAATATTTCTAATTACAGTCAGAATGATGATGGGAGAGTGCAGACAAGTTAATGTGCCACGTCTACTCTTGGATGCAAATGTGCAGCAGACAATCAAGAGCAAGAACAAGCACTGAATGGCAAGTCAGGACACTATTTTTTCTTCTAGAAAGACTTAGAAATTCAGCTGAGAAATACATATAAAAAGCTAAGAATTCAACTGAACAGAACTTTGGACAGTAACTGAAGCAGAAGATATGATCTAATCAATTCCACATATTTTGTTGCATTTTACCCCAAATTTTTCTTTATAAAATGCCTTAATTCTAGATACCTAAAACATCCAATGAGCTTACCTGGAAAGAACAGGACTCTCTTCCTCTGGAAATTAATCAGCATTAAAAATGAGAAGAACAGTTAAAACAAAGGCAAGGAAACAATATTTGGACTTCCTCACAGTAATGCACCATCTTAGGTAATGACACATTACACATATATGGTATAATACCACGTTATACATAACTGTTACCTTTCTAATACACAAAAAAACCCTTTTACTGGTTTTTAATAACTCATTCTCACAAACATAGATTTCAGATATGAAAGGAATGCATAATCCTCCTCAACACAATATCCAGCAAGAAACATTGTCACCAGGAGGAAACGAGCAACAAATTCCAATTTGGAAAATGACAATTGCTGAAATACAACAGAACATGCAGGGCTGATCAGGAAATGCATTCAAATATGAAAGTTACTGACAAAAAAAAAAAAAAAAAACAGAAAAAATGCAATGTTTCATTTATCAATTAAAAAAATGAACAAAATCTGTTACTGTATTTTGAATTACAGCCACAAAAATAAGTTAGAAACACATACAAAAGAATTATGTACCACTAAGAGCCTGTGAGAGGCCTGTAAGCACATGAAACACAAGCAAAATGAGACTGTTTTGTCTTTTTGAGGAAAAATAACACAATAGTTACTAAAACATTGTTGGAAAAAACCAAAGGTGTTACACTATAGAAGTTTAATCTAGAACATTAATCTACCCTTTACTGAAACAAATAGAAAGGGAGGTTTTCTTAAAGTTTGTCTAAAACAATGAAGTTGAATAAAACTATACAATTACCTGAACTCTTTGAGAATTATCTGAATTATTTGAGAATACATTTTTGGGCACTTATGGATTGCTTAGAAATACAATGTTGAAAGAAAAGTTTATCTTGCTTTATTACACTCAAATTTTTTCACCACTGAACTGATATCTTTTGCTTTGAAGATAGTCCTAAGTTTATCGTTATTTGACCATTTACCATATATCCCAGAGATTCTCAAATAAAACTACCAAATATCCAAGTATTCAATAAATACTAGTACACCCAATATATAAGTCCAGAAAGAAAAATCACATAATTCAAGTTATTGCAAATAAATAGCTAGCTATAACTTCTATAACTTTATAAATATTTAAACAAAATTCTGCTAAGTATAAGTTAGCCTCCTAAATATACAACTAAACTAACAAAACCATTGTCTAAAAGTCAGAAAATAGTTCAGAAAGACAAGTTTATTTTTGGGAAGTTAGACTCTTACACCATTTGCTTTTAAGGCAAACTCAAAGCACATTATCCACTACCTCCCAAAACTCTGTGCTAGCTATTCCTCTTTGGTTAGTTAATGAGTTATAGACTTAAAGCTACTTTAAAAAAATAAAGATCCAAATACAGAAGTATCTCAGTGAGAAAATGTGCACATGCTTCCCGATGCAAAGGTTACAGAAATCAATAAGCCCTCCTGAAATCCCTTCTGTTTTCACAAAGCAAGTGCTGCCTCCCCTTGTCCAGAGTCACACCTCAGAGAAGAGCCGTTCCTCTCTGTGAGGAAACACAGCTAAAAATGCAAATTCACTTTTCAGCAACAAGTCTGTGAGGAGATCTATCCTTCTGCTGGAAAACAGAATCGGGCTGTCAAGTGAAAGCATGGAAGTCATTGATTTACAGAGAGGAGCTACTGTTCCTTTACAGAAAGGAGCTACTGTTCCTTAGTACAGCAGGCAGTTTTCCAAAGCTGCATGGCATTCTATTCCAAAGCAAAGAGGGAAAAGGAAAGACCAGGACATATGCCTGGTCCTTCCTTTAAACATCCTGGCAAATATTGACAGGTGTACCAGAAATATTAAAACCAGGCTACATGTTACAGAGCTCCAGCCACGTGGTAATTATTTGGCTTTTTGGTCCCTTCCAGTACAACCGGCTTTAAAGTGTTCTCAACCTGCTTTTTATGTTTTTTGGAGACTTTTCTTAAGAAAGTAACCAATTATATCACTTGAACACTCCTGCTACTGTGATTCACAAAATCAAAAGTATCACTGCGTAGGGCCAAACTCCAGATGAGAGATTACCACCACCACTTCCCACCTCATTTCAGAGCTGTGCAGGTCCCATTCTATGCTTGGCCCACCGTGAGCTGCTGCTCTACACACACATCTTACCTCAGGCTGCACTGCAGGGGGAAATGGCTAAATGTGACTTTTCAAAGATTGTGCCACATTGAATGCTACGTGTAAAAGATTTCATATTAACACAGAATGCCCATTTAGATAGCTTTGATTGCCAAGTAGCAAAGCTACTGCAATTACAACATGCTGGGACAGATTCACAGTTCACAAAGCTTAACAAGCCCTAGGCAGAGCTCTGATATTTCTTTAATGTCTTGCTCTGATAAGACAAACAAACAAAATGTTGATAAAACATGTAATTGCCAACAGAAGAAAGAAACCATTTTTTACTTGACTAACATAATTGGAATTCTTCCTTTCCCATTTACAATACTTCACTAAGACATCTCAGAGCACTCCTACAGAATCTCCTTGTCAATCAGATGAGGTACTTCGGTAAACATTTTAAAACACCTTTCTATTACACATTTTCTTTAGTACAAGACAGATGTGAGAATGGAGGGGGTGGCGGCAAGGAAAAAAGGAATAAAGACATTTTTACCACTTGCCATTCTACTGGTAAGGGACTCCCAAAATGCTTTTATATAAATGCACCATCACAGGTGTCACATGAGTCACTCGACATTAACATCCATTGTGAACCCGAAAACCAATGATTTTTAAGACAGTTTTTTTTGTTTATTAGTTCCAGATTTTTTTAGTGTTTCTGACTATATGCAGATACTTCAAGTGTTCATAACAGTCTAATTAATCTAATTGCAGCAAGGTTTCTTTGTGTAGTTTTTTTTTTTTTGCTTTAAACAGAATAACAGCATGCTTTTATATTTACCTATTGCACAATTAATTGCTTTTTAATTATATTTCCTATTAAAGTAATTCCACTACTAGAACAAATAGGTCCAGAGAGCCCATTTTGGTCTGTTGGCTCAAGGACTCTCAGAACAAAATAATAATAATAATTTAAAAAACCCCACCAAAACTCTAATTAAACCATTACATAGAAATATACAGAAAAAGCCTGGAAGAGTTCATGAGTAAACAACACTTGTTTAAAAAACACCTCTGTAATAAAGTACAGTACAGTATACAGATGCCATACCATAATATCTCCAGATGGAGCTGTTACAGACAATGATAATGCCTTTAAAATGCTTATTATGAGCTCTTTGTTTTTTGAAATCATGGTTTAAAAAAAATCTTCAGAGGCTATTTAAAGCACAAAAACTACTTTTAAGGTTCTACCAAAAAGTTGATTTATGATCAGTAAAAAAAAAAAGAATGAACATCACATCTGAGCAAGCAGCCATCACAACCCTACTGCTGCTCCCAGGTTAGCACAGTAACCTCCAGCCCGTGTTCCCAGAGTTATTTCATCTGCTCCAACACTACAGGCTGATGAAGGCTGGAGTATTCCTCCCTTTGTATTTCAGTGAGAATGTTAACATTCTTACAACAGTTTTATAGAAGCAACAGAATTAAAATACTATCAATTAATAACAGATTTCTGTTATTAAATCAGCCTTCTAAAAATATAAAAATATTTTATATTGTGAAAGTGTCTTTCAATCATACTTAAATTTTCAGTTTTAATAAGGAGTACCTAATTAGAACCATCACTTTAGAACTATGACTTTCTGCTCATTTCACGTAAATAGACAAACAGTTAAAAACATATTTACTAAGATTAAATAGAATTGAATAGCAAAAACATACAATCTGACAATGTTGTCGTGTGCTCTTTCAAAGAGTGCATAGGACATATTTCTGCAGCAGTCAATACAGTAATTCTTGTGATGCAATCTCAGTCAAAGCTGTAAACATTCCTAATTGTAGTTTCTTGGAAACTTTTGGTTCCTTTCAAGTTTTTATTAGCAAGTTGCACTGGGCATTCCCCTGACATTTCCCCCCCCATCAGTTGCAGACAACATCACCCTCCACCTGTAACCCCTCTGGCTGTTCAGAACTACTCTTCAGCATTTCTTCAATATATGCAGGGCAGTCATCCTTCCCTTGCAGTGCACAGTAACACTTCCCACATGCCAGTGCTAGCAAGGCCCCCAGGGCATGATCTCGAGAAGCAGGCTGATGAGGAAGTCTGCTATGCCTTAATGGGATTTCCTGCAGGTTTGGGATCATAACCATATAGAAAAGTAGCTGCTATTACAAGGATGGCTCCGAGGAAAAAGACACTGAATAGAACAGGGATGAAAAAAAAAGTTTGTTTTAGTTGATGCAAATTTATTTATGCAATACAATCAAAAGCAAGGATATTTTTCCATGAGGAAAACAGAAAGATAAATTATATTTGTCCAATTAATAAAGAGCAAAATAATTTGTATGTATTTCTTTTAGAGGGATGCAGAAAGTTGTTGAGGTAAGAAACTTGTAACTACAAATTAATGTATCATTATACTAACATATTCTGAAAATTAAAATTACACTTTCATGGAATTTCCAAAAGCAATCAGATCAATCCTTTTTTCCTTAAACTTTTACCTAAAGATTTATGCAAAATGGAATCAGGAGCTGAAGAAAAGCAGCTTCTGTGGTTACCCATCCATTCTTATACTACATACATCATGTTGTTGGAGCTGTGTTTGCTTTGAAGTCCAAAGCTTGTGTCAAAATAAATTACTGCTGCCCAAGAACCAGTTTGCAAGTCAGTATAATCAAATTTTTGTCAGATGCAGAAAGATCTGTCTTATGAAAACACAATAAAGGCATCTTTTCTATTGTGACATTTTGGTCTTTCAAGTTTTTTTGATAGTTAAAGTCTGATACAAAATAACCGAAGCCAGCACACAATCAGTATATATTTTAGAAAAGAATCTCATCAGAGACATGACATCATCAACAATTTCATCTTCTGAAGCAAATGCTAAAAAAGTGTGGCATATGATATGATAATCCTTCAGAGAATACATTTCACCTGTTTTGGGACATGGCCCCTTGCAACACATTCAAGCATTTAAGTACTTTACATCGATTACCCTTTCAAAACTGTTGATGTGACAGAAACAATTACACAGTTTCAGTTTAAATGCATTGCTAGCATAAGCAAGGGACTAAAGATTAAGTTTGATTAACTCAAGTTAGTCAAGTTTTATTAAATGGGATCGCCTCAAGTTCTACATACTGCTACTTGGCTGTATTTAATTTTCAACATGTTTGCAGAAGCTGTTAAGTTACTTATTAATTTTCCATTTGAGTACACAGAAATTCTTAAAGCACTTTCTACATTTGTTTTAATGGGACAATTATAATCTACTTATAATTTAAGTTCAATGTCTTCCACTTTTTAAGACTAAACAACTATTCAATTTCCTTTTTTTGAATGCTTAAGTCCTGATAATACAGGATCACAGAATGGGTAAGGATAAAAGGGACCACAGTATTGCAAACATATATTTTTATCTAAAAAGATGTTTCTTTGTACCAGATACAAAAGTCATAAATATTATTCAAAATATTTTTGTGTTATGAGTACATGTAAGATATGCAAGGAGTGTTGGTCAGTCATAAGTAAAATCCTATTCCTACACCTGGAAGTGGGATTATTAATTCTACACTCCATACAGGAACATGCACTGCAAAGACAAGCAGTGTTCTCAACCTACCCATGTACAAAGCCTGTGGCACACAGAGCCACCACAGTCTGATCCCCAAAGCATCAGGACACTGTACAGGGCCTAGAAGAATGGAGCAAGGACTTCCTTTTCTTTCTTGGCTGTTCTCACTACAAAATGTAGCATTGCCTTTGGAAACAGCTCTGCCTTTGGGCTTCTGGGTGCCCTTGTGCAGCTCAGTGCTGCAGCGTGACTGCAGTCACCTGTGTTAGAACCTGTGCTGCGGGCGATGAAAGGCAGCACAGAGGTGATGCCCCTGTGCCGGGCCCCGCACTGCGAGACACGGAGCAGCGGCAGTCCCTGGTCCCGGCCCCGCAGTGCGGGACACGGAGCAGCGGCAGTCCCTGGTCCCGGCCCCGCAGTGCGGGACACGGAGCGGGCGCAGTCCCTGGTCCCGGCCCCGCAGTGCGGGACACGGAGCAGCGGCAGTCCCTGGTCCCGGGCCCGCAGTGCGGGACACGGAGCAGCGGCAGTCCCTGGTCCCGGGCCCGCAGTGCGGGACACGGAGCAGCGGCACTCCCTGGTCCCGGGCCCGCAGTGCGGGACACGGAGCAGCGGCACTCCCTGGTCCCGGCCCGCAGCGCCAGGGGCGCGGTGCCCGCGCGGGGCCGCAGGGGGCGCGCCCGGCCCGAAGAGCGGCCCCGGGCAGCGGCAGCAGCCGCAGGGAGCGCGGCCCCGAGCCGCGGGACCCCGAGCCAGCGGCTCCTCACTCGCTTGAGAAACTCCCTGTTAGCTATGGGATGAGGCTAAGCCTTGATGTGCAAGCTGGACCTAGACATTTCGAAGTGCGGACTTGGATGGGATTTGTTTTTTATTTATTTTCGCAGTTATATCTGGTAAGCAGTAAGTTTTCAACTATTTTTTTTAGTAAACATGGAAAATAATTCTTACCTTGTAGGGACAAAATCTTGCAGCCAGAAATAGGAAATCAATGTTGACAGTATAATGGAGAGAGAAGTTGCAAATCCCTTTAAAATGTTGTCGGCATATTTTATAACAGCAGCAATCACCAACCCTCCAAGTGCCTGGAAAAATAGCAAGGTTGGGATTCACAAACTGATAATTTGACTGAGAGCATCTGTTTTGACACCATGCACCTACTTTAGGAAAAGCTTTTGTCTGTGTTGAGGAGCAATACATTTATTTTATATTAGGAATATGTACAGTTGACAATAAATATTGGAGGAGTAGTTCTTTCCCCATTAAAGAAATTGTTGATCACATTACCACCATTAAATGAGTGGAAATGCTTGTACTGTACATTTTTAGTCACATGAGGAAGGGCATATAGAGAGATAAATTTAAACATCACAAAATAAATAATGCTTACATGCTGTTAATTTGCACAATACTTAATCACATACTTGCTATATACTTTCCAGATTTTCATTCAGATTATGAGAATAATGATAAATCAGACTTTCAACTGTAGAATTCTCAGCACCTTCAAGGACACCCATTAGTTTCCCCAGTTATTTATAGAAGAGTAAATCTCTGAGTGCCTTCACAGAAACATGCAACACAAGGTCTCACCTGTAGAACAACCACCACCCAAGTAAGTTTATTGTATCCTTGAAAAAATCCATTCTTTGACAGTTGTTCTCCATCATAAATGTAAACACCCATCAGTCCAAATATGCTACCAAAAAACCCTGAAAGTACAAGATTGGTTTAAAAGCTTTAGGTGAAAAACATGCAAACAGGTTCCTTGTCCTTAAAGGCTGCTCATGCATTTCTGATTTTAAAATTGGACTGTCACTTGCAATAGCATCACATCCAAATGCAATCAGTTTGCTGTTCTCTTTTAAAAGCTATTCTCCACATTTGAAACAAGTTTTGATTGTTTCCATAAAGAAATCCTTATTTACTTATCTTCCATTGCTTTCTACTGGAATGGAGATATTTTTGTTTATGGCATATAGCAAAATTCACTTAAATGCAATTTCAGTTTTCCTGAAACTAGTCATGATTGAAGGCTGAAGTCACCCTATATAACCTGGAGAGAAAAACAGGGAAAACACTCAGTGGAATAGAAGGTCTCTGGCACAGCAGGAGCAGCAATTAGCAGTTTGCCAATTCAGACAAGATCTTTGAAATGGGATTCTCCTGAGCCAGTCTCAAACACAATGAATTTTTACTAGTAGAGACTTAATGTCGAAAGCTGAATCTGAGGTGAGACTGTGGAGTTTTTAATTTGGTGAGTCCATTGTTCTTCTATCAAATGGGAAGCTTTTCCTAATTCCTAGAGCCTGTAAGCAGCTACTCTGTGATTATGTCTGCTATAGTCCTGAGCATGAAAGGGGCAACACTTTTTTCTATTCCTTCTCTGTGAAAAGGTGATTTTCATCATATTTCTCAGCATCTGAAAAAGCCAGAATTGTTTTGAACAAAATAACACCTTCTGTTTGACAAGAAATAATTATTTTGTAGGCAAATCTAAAAACATAGTTATCATTCAGATTAAACCATTTACTTGCAATTTCCAATTAATCTGTTAAGATAAAGAAATACAATAACCTATTCATACATCCTTATTATAGTATTGATGTGCACTAAAAACTGATTTTTAAAACAATTTTAATTTATTTTCCCATTATTTTCAACAGTTTTCATAATTCTCTATGGATATGAAAATGAAAACCTGGTTGGACACGCAGGTTTTTAGCTTGTGTTTTAAGAAAAACTCTACTTCAGAGCTCTTGCTTATGAATGTCTGGCTAACACTTATGGTGATGTAAAAATGTTTTAATGCATTCAAAATTAACTTCTGCTTTTTTAACTGAAACTATTTATAATTAAAATACAGTGGTAAGAAAATAAAGGAAAAAAAATGGCTTATTGACCAACTAACTAATTACAAAAGAAGCCACACCATCTCCTGTTCTTATAGTACTGTGCTACATTCTACCACTCTCCACACAGCTCTGATCCACTGAATCATCTCATGACTTAACTTTACACTGTGGATTTGATCCCCAGTCCATCCTAAGGCACTGGGAAGGTCAAATTCTGCTCAGTGCACTCATTCAAATATGCCATAAATAGTTTTTGCCTACAGGTGAAGACGAGAGTGGTTAATATATGTTAATATAGGTGATGTGAATATAATGTGATACACACTGATAGGTGCACTGTAGGTACAGCTGTACAAATAGTTAAGATGAACTGGTCTTTTCCATATGCCTCTCCTCAATGATTATGCACACAAAAGAAAGTGACCTTTGGTATTGAAATAACAGTAAATAATTACCTCCACTTTGTTCACAAACAAAGCAGATTTTATAGCTTGCACTTTTAATACAAAAAGCTGCCTACCCAGGCATGAGAGAAAAAAATACATTAATTTTAAAACATCTCAAAACACTGACTTGGAAATGTAATTTGTTTTAATATTCCTACATTCTCTAAAAAATAGTAAAAAAAAATTCAATTAACAGTTTCTGCACAAATGTACAGTTACTCTACTAACAAAGTAAATCAAGAACTAGACTGAAATCAGAAAGAAATGGCTATAATTCCCTCTAGCAGAGTTTGAATTTTGGTTTTAAAATAACTTATATGTAGCATGCTAACATGGTGGTGGTATTTTTTATTTATACATTTATTTTGCACAATTGTCTTAATCCTTCAGAATGCAGTATCTCTAACAGATGATTAAAATTAAACTTACCAAGCTGAATGTTTCTGATCCACACAGACTGCTTAGTTTCCTTTAAAATTTTCTCGAAATAAACTCCAGCAAATCCACTAGAAAAGCACGCTACGAGAACTGCAATCAGGCCTACAAACTGTGATCCTGCTGAGTGCTCCTTAGCAGGTGTTGCTTGAGAGTCTGAAGGCCACTGGATGTAAAAACAATTACATAAAACTCACTGATGAAATCAAGTCATGAGAATCTACAAAATGCAAATTTGTTTTCCACCAACAGTAACAGTTACTAAATACAGACAATCACATACTTGAAAAATTTTGTATATTGCACTATAAATACTTTTAAAGGACTGCAAAGCTGTAATTATTTTCCTATGTATATGTAAGGAGTAAAATTGTGCCTGAACTGGGAGAATACTCATCAATTTAAACAGCTGCAGGATTTATATTTTATAAGCAAGAACTGTTTTTGAATCCCAGTATGACTTATCATGGTCATTCTCTGCCACCAACTTGTGACACCCAACAGTTGTTTACCTTACAAATATAAGCACAGTTAGGAAACTACTTACACCAATTGTCTTTAAGGTAGGATGAATTGTGTTTTTCATGTGCCCCTCTTTGGTGATTGTGCAGACCAGTTAAATCTTGCAATGTGTCTAAGGCTAACTGAATAAAATGCAATGCCATGGACAAAAACTTTCTGAGGAGTCTGTTAAATATTGCCAGAGTATTTTGTTCTAATTTTTCATTATTGAATTTAATCAGCGTATCTTTTTCCAAATTCTTAAATGTTAAAGTAAAAGATTTCCAGGTATCCTAAAATCTGCTAAAAATTCTTAGAATAGTCTCTTATCCTATGATTCTGCCCTCTGAAAACTATCAACTCTGATAGCTGCACTATTGAGAACTGAGGCCAATTTAGATTTTTTAAATTAGTCCAAAGTAAGTTTGCCATGCTGAATCCATATGACAAAGTGAACACAGCCTGTACTGGCAGAGAAGATCTCTGAATTCCTAATGCCTGAAGAAATGTGCTAATAAAATTGCTATCATAATTACTTGCAGGTTGCTCCAGAGGCCCTGTCACATTCTGTAGTAGAGCACTGGGTTGCAAAAGAGGTGTTATCTTCTGCCTTTGAGCCATTTCTGGTGTCCTCCAGACCTGGCCAGTTGTGATTCGTACCTCCTGACTATACTCTGGGGCTCGTGTGCAGCTGGTAGAATCAGAAAGCTGGATAATCAGTATAGAAATCCATGCTTCTTGAATAAACACATTAAAACCCCACAAATCACCTGCAAATATTTACCTGCACAAATGCCACTCCTGTCATCAATATTACTAGTGACAGCCACTGGTATACACCCAGTTTCTTGCTCAACATGGACACAGAAAACAATGCTGTGGTGAGAATTTTCAGTTGATATGTAACCTAGAAGAACCAGAACAGTTACTGCTACTATGCCACAATTCATAGGTTTTTTGTTTGTTGGTTTTTTGTTGTTTTTTTTTTTTTTTTTTAAATTACAGAGAATTCCAAATATGCAATACCTGGTATGTGGCTGCATCTAGGTTTGACAATGCTACATACAGCAAGTTGTTCTGAAGAGTGTAAATTCCTGAAGGAATAGCAAGTTTAAGGGTTTCCATGGGTTTGTTAAGGATTTCATCACGTAGCACTCTGTTCAGAGTCCGTAAATTGCATTCTACCAAAGAAACAGTAAAAGAAGTAGACATTCATTAAAAGGAAAGGAGTGGAAAAAAGAGAAACAGCAATGTTCTGTTCTTAAACTGTTGCCCCTTTTTATAGCTATCACTACACCAAGACCTGAAAATACCATCTATGTTTGTCTCACTTTCACAGGCTTTGTATATTTCCTTATGGAAATATGGCTGCAAGTGTCTTCCTGCAGCCTAGAATATCAGAATGAAAACAATTATTCAAAATACTTTGAGTTAAACTTATTGAAACTCTATCAATAACTTAAGATAATATATCAAAGAGTACCACCTAAAAAGTGCACATTTAGAATCCTACAGAGTCATCAATATTTATGAATAGACAATGACATTTTTAAGCTGCTGCAAATCAAACAGAAACCAGATAAATCCAGTTTTAAATATACAAAATAAAAACTAGAGTAAATGTGAATATAGTTTTCTTTTTTTTAGCTTTAAACTATGATTCTTCCTGTAACAATAAAATTGCTTCTTCCCTTCTGTATCTGCTGTTTATCACCAGTTTCTAAATTATCATTCATCCTTTGGACACACTTAAAGCTTTTCATTTTTTCCTACTTCTACATACAGATTTCTTAAAATGCCAGAGAAAACACAAACTTTGAGATGTTAACATAAAATTCATTCCTGCCCTCTTCAGTATCCATTCTCTCAAGTAAATATGCAGTATGATTATTGTCTTTCCAAGACTATTTCTTACACAAGGAGAAGGGAAATGCTTTGTTGTATGCCTGTACTCACATGGCTGCTTTGCAGTTGCCACTACAATACAGCATATTGATTAGGAAAATTACTTGGTGCAAAATTTGACACATACTGCTGTCTTTGTAGACTAATACAACACAGGCCAAAATCTTCAGAAGTTCAGCAATAACTACTGCAGTAGAGGATAAGTAACGAGGTCCTTCTTCTTTCAGTGTCCGAGAATAGCGCATGGTCAACACTAAACTTGTAGTCTGAAAAACCAGGATGCCCAAGGAAAGGTACTTTAAATTGGCAGACATTTCTTGACCTTTTCCTCTCTGAAACAGAAAAAAAGAAACAAACCCAAAGGTCATATTGCAGATATTGGAAATCACTGGTTTGTGTAGGTAGGTGAAGGCTCAGAGGGTACTTTCAAGGTGAAGGTGTTTTCTGCTGGGGTACAGCAGAATGCCCAGTGCTCCTGCTGCAGTGAGCTGTTCCCAGACTGAAGAGATTTTCCCACTCTTCCAGATCTCCCAGGGCTGTCAGGTTGCAGCCTCTGCCTTGCCAGGTGGCACCATACCAGCAAAAGAAGGGTGAGGGTTGGGCTGCTTTAAATGAGAATGAGAGGTGTGCCTGGCAGTGAAGGGAAAGGAGAGCTGGGGGAAAGCAGAGTTGGAGAGGAAGACATGGGATAGAGAAGCTTTAGGGGAGGCAGCACTAAACCTGTCCTGCTGATTATCCTGCCCAGAAAAGAATTCATTGAATATAGATGACTAGGTGACTGCAACTGCTTTCTCAGGCTGTGCTGACTACCATAAACTTCATGTTGGTACAGCTGTACCATCCTCATCTCTACCACGTTGATGCTGTTTTCTTTGCAATTTGTCACCAGTTTAAAGGATTAACTTATTGCAGAAGACTAATAGAGACAGTATTTTTCATTTTGCAAACACAATATATAACAAGGTGATTTTAAAAAAGCTTGCTGCTACTCAGACTATCACATAAATTTTGCTATGCTTCATATAAAGAACTTTCATACACAGAAACTAATGCTTTCTATAAAAGATTATCTTCTACTCCCTTCATTGCCCACTTACTCAAAAACAGAGCCAATTTAATAATGTCAAAGTTAAATCAAATCAATAGCTAGAAGTTTACAACTATGTTTACAAGCAAAAGAAGAGTAACAAGCCAAGACAATGCATGTTGTTCTCAATTTCAGAAGTCAAGACACAGCCCAGCTGCTGGGTGCATATGGCAGAGCTGTCCTCGTGTTTTACACCTGCAGGCACCCAACTTCTGACTCATTAACTACACAGCTTTGTCCACACTGCTCAAGGATGTGCTGGTACCTCCAAGTATTTATGGCTAGAACTGAAGCAGTTTCTTGCTAACTGCGTTTCTCTAGCTCAAGATGCATTTCATTGCTGGTTTTGTAGACATTTGGAGAGCTAAACTCTTCAAATATTTCTGATTTGTCCTTATCTTGTCTCTAAGCATTTATAGATTTTCTCCAGTCAAATATTCAAAGTCAAATTATTACCTGTACAACACTGACACTTAAAAGACACTGTAGTAACCTGCAAACAGGAGTGAATTATCAACAGCCACAAAGATATGAAGCACACATTTGTATCCTATGCAATAAAATGATTCGTCTTAAAAAATCATACCTTTGTAAAAATATTTGTAAAAGCATACTGGCAAATAAGGAAGAAAAAGATGCCAGGATGCTGAAACTAAGGAAGAAACACACAAGGTTTCATTAAGGAATCTTAATAAGAGATACTTTTGCATGAACTACAATCTCATTTAACTTCTGAAGAAACAAATACTAAAGATGCACGGGAGCAATATGAATCAAACAGAAATATAAACTATGAAGGAGAAGAAAGCTGCAGACAATACTCAAGATTTGCTGTTTTCCACTGGTGAAAAATAATCCATTACATGAGGGTGTTAACTGTGGAATTATGCATCCTAAACAACAAAACTGAGATGATCTCTTAGTTGAAGAACAACAACTGAAGAATAAATTTGCTACAGTTGAGAACAAGTAGGAGAAAAAGAATGGTTCCTGCAAAGTGATGAAGAAGTGACATGCACATTCAGAGACCATGCTTTCTGGAGAGGTACCAGCAACAGAGACAGAGGGAAAAAAGGTAAAGAAAAAAAAACCTACTGAGAGAAGATACAGAACTGAATGTCACTAAAAGGCTTGCCTGTGATACTAGAGAAAACTGACATTTATGTGAGCCAACTTGAACAAACAATTTCTTTCACTGTTCCCATCTATCTCATTTTTTAGTATTCAAACCTGAAAAACTGGAAATAAAGAGCAACATATTGTTAAGACAAAAATTTCATGAAAGCACACATACAGATAAGTCCTTAGAACTTTAGGTTGTAGGTTTTTAAACTTGTTTTTGGCTGGTTTTGTTTGGTTGGTTTTAGTTTTCAAAATGCTTCTGAACACACATATCCCTCCTGACTTGAACCCAAATTTCTGCATTCTGTCAGCCTGTGAAATGACAAAGGGTTTTACAAATGTTAAAAATCATCAGATATCAATTCTGTAACCTTCAAAACAGACAGTAGTATTAAAAATAATGTTCACATTAATTTCTTTGTAAAATACAACCATCTATTTATGAAGCAGCTCAAAATGTAATTTTAAAAGTAAATCACAAGTATGCTAATGAGCAAGTACCAGAGCATTCAGCATGAAAATACACCAACAAGCACAACACTTTGATAAACCCATAAACAAAGCCATAAAGAATCCATACCATATCATTATATTTAACTTCTGTCTTCTCTTCCTTGGAAGTCATGATAGAAAAAGGGAACTTTCCCCAAACAATGTATCTCAAAAAGGCAGGAAATATTTCCTGCTAATGCAAGGAAATCACTAATGCATTTCAGAGTTCCAAAAGTGCACATAGAAGGGAACCTAAGTGTCCAGCATGATAGCTGAAATAAGGGTATTTTTTAAAAGTTGTCCTATCAGTGGTCAGCAAGACAGGCTTGTAGACAGCAAGTGTGGGAAGTTGCATGCTGTACTTACAAGCTGGTTCACTGAGCAGGAACTAGAGTTCTGAAATGTACAGATGCCAATAATATAATCACTCCTAAGCACACAGAACACCTCATCAGCTCTCCTGGTCCCTTCTCTTTTAAAAGAGAAGCTTATCAGCTCACAGACCTCTCCTGCAAACTGTCAACAATCCACAAAAGGAGCAAGATATTGAACTTTAAAGAGTTGGGCAGTCTTCAACTGCAGTCTCATAGCACTTTTAGATTTACAGGTGACTATCAGAGGTGTAAGAGCTCACTTGTAGCCATGAGCTCCTGCTACCCTCACAGCAGCAGCCTGTGCAGTCACAGAACAAATGAACTATTGCCTTCAGTAACAGCCCACATCTGGATTGTCTTAAACCAACAATGATATCAAAGTTCCCACTGCATTTCCTGTACAGAGTTACAACTCAGGTTTCTCACTGGCTTTGGATGCACTGCTTGGTACTCTGCAGGATAAATCTGTTTGAAAACTCAGATTTAGGTTTGCTCATTCAAAGACTGGAAGTTGAGTGGTGACATGAACCCTGTCTTCTGAACTGTACCTTACACTGGGATGTGCTAAGGACCTGCAGTTCCCTGACTATGATACTAAACAACTCCTCTCAGGGACTGGGCTCGGTACTTTCTCTTCTGTCAGTCTACGTTAAAAATCAGTTCCTTCTGCGTCATTCCTTAGGTGTGCCAGGGACACACCCTGCAGCCACAGGGAAGGAAGGCAGCCCACACAGGAGCCAATCCACAGGAAGCCAAGGTGGCATTTACAGCACGGAACACTTGGATTCAGTACTCACAGCTGCATAAAATTTGGATTCTATGTGAAGAGCTGTTCTCCTTGAAAGTAAAAAGGAGAAGGATGCTGGAAAGGTTCTCAGAACACAAACCAAAGCAAAGCAATCTATACAGGAAGTAATACTTTCAGCTCAAAGTACCATACTGCCCAAAGTCTGAAGAATAACTCTTCAAAAGAAGCAGATTTTTTGAAGAGGAAAATCACATATTTCCAGCTCATAATATTAATTCAAAACTGAATACATTTCTGACTTGCAGATTTTCATCTCCCTTTGTAATACCTCCAACCCAGGCTAAAACTTAATATTTTATGTTTTATTTTTATTTCATCCCTACACTTTCCCTCCTCAAATACTGGTAAATTCTAATATTTGCAGATGAAATTAGGCCCTAATCAATTTGATTTAATGAACGGCACACCAAAACTCCTTGGTACTAATCAGTGTTTCCTACAGAGCAATAAGATTATGGGACTTTTCTTAACCTTAAGATTTTGTCTTTTAAAGATCTGATGGTATAAACTTCTGAAGTTTTCAGCTGTAGAAGTATCTACTGTTGCAAAATCCTGTACAAAATTAAGGATTAGTTTATGAACTGATTCTATTCTTAACTTTGTAGAAGGACTCAAAATCAGAATTACAGGGAGTATCAGAGAAACTTATAGGAAAAACTCCAAGCACCCAACATTATCTGAAGAAGTAGATGAAAGTCAAGAAAAAAATTAAGAGTAAATTCCAGCAAGTCTCACAAAAAAGTAAGTTAAATTCACCAAAAGATTTCACAAAAATAACCTCCACTGACAACTATTTCTTTACTCCTCCATACCCCATCACAAGTAAAGTTTAATTTAAAAAAAAGAAAAATAAACTAACTAATATCATGCTCCAAATCTTCACAGTGATGTCATTACATGAATTAAATTCCTTCCAGCCTAGCTGTGAAATGTTTTTACTGCTGACAGTTTTTTAGAGTAAAAAAGCCAAGTTACAGGAGTTATTTTCTTAGGTCTTATTCAATTTTATGACTAATCAGTTTAACATTGCTCAACCAACAAAAGGCATTTGTGTATCAGTTAAAATGCAAGGCCCAACACAGAAGGAGACAACCAGCCTCTCAAAACTTCCAAAGGCAAAGTTTAAATTTTCTGTGCTACTACACCAAATTCTCCATATGGGTTCTGCTGGAAAATAAACACTGATTGAATCTGCTTCTGTGTCATTCCAGTGGTACATGTATGGACACACTTCCTGAGCATTTGCTTTGAAGTTAGGATAAGAGATTAAAGAAACAGGATGGTGTTCTCATATTTCTCCAGTGAAATATGAACCTAGTGCTGATGCCACACCTATACAAATACAATAAGCTGTCAACAAAGGAAAAGCCCAACTGGAAGGTGGAGTAAGAGAGAGAACTCACAGAACCTAAAAAACTATAAAACTTCATTCTATGCTTTACTTACTTTCTACACGCATTGCCCTCTTCCCTGTGCTGGATAACACACAAGTAACATGTCATTTTCTGCAACACAACTACATTCCTCAGAGAAACTTCTACTCCACAAATATTCTTTTTTTTTTTTTTGAGTGAATATAGCTTTGTATTTATCAGAAGTGGTGTAAAATACAACCTATACTTTAAGTATAGAAATAAATGGAAGAAAGGAACCTCATGAAATTCAGCAAGGCCAAGTGCAAGGGCCTGGGTGTGGGCTGGGCTAATTCAGGAACAGGCTCCCCAGAGAACTGGAGAAACTGGAGAAACTCCATTACTCCATAAGTGTTCAAGGCCAGGTTGGATGGTTCATGGAAGGTGTCCCTGCTCAGGGCAGGGAGTCAGAAACAGATGATCTTAAAGGTCCCTTCCAACCCAAAACATTCTGTGATTTTATGACAAATATTCCCCATGGTACAGAGGCTGCATAGACCTCTCCAAATCTAGTTAAGTGCTGCTGAACTGCATTCTGAAGTAGATTTTACAGACACACAAATAATTTAACTGCCATATTTGGACTGCTAAAATTTGACAATACATTTCTTTCTCCCCTCACCACCACAAGATTAAATCTGTCATGTCACTGTAACTGTAGCAATGCATGTCCTAAAAATTTTGTATATCTCACTTTAAAATGTCACTACCACATTTTCCATTTTCCTCATACTGTGAACAGGTTTCTTATTTGTTCCCTCCCATAAGCTATCTACAATTGTCAGCTGTTCCTCCCCAAATACCTGGCACTTTGCACTAAATCACTGCAAATAACTTCATCATTTTAAAACTTACCTTACTCTTTCTTTTGTTTTCCAGTTTGTTACTCATTTTTCTTGCTGGAGACATAAAGTGCACTAAGTACACTATGAACAAAAACAAAACTGTGCTTCTCTTTGAGTTTGTACAATTCTTCAGAAGTGTGGTAAAAATAAAATCCTCTAGCAAAGTCTGTTCCTCACTCTTCGAGCAGAAACTGAGGAACAAAGTTTTTTTTTCATATGAAAGTTTCCTTCAGGCAGTATTTCCAATTTCTCAATTTACATTAAAAAAAATCTTTACTGAAAAGAAGTAAAAACATAACTGCATTCAAATGGTATTTTCAAGACAAGGTGATCAAGTAGAACACAGTAGATCACTGCAGGACCTTGCTCCTGCAACGTCATCTTGCTCCCTAGGCACAACCGTATCTCGTGTGCTGGCATTGGCTGGGGTAGAGTTCACTTTCTTCACAGTAGCTGGCAGGGAGATGTGTTTGGGATTTGTGCTGAAAAGTGCTGGCAACACAGGGACATTTTCACTATTGTTGAGCGGGAATTACACTTTTCTGCCTCCCACCCCACCAGTGAGGAGGCTGGGAATGCACAAGAAGTTGGGAGGAGCACAGCCAGGAAAGCTGACCTCAAGAGACCAGAGGGATATATCCCAGACCATATGGAGTCATGCTCAGTACATAAAGCTGGGAGAAGAAAGGAGGGATGAGGTTCAGAATATGCTGTTGGTCTTCCCATGTCACTGTTCCACATGCTGGAGCCCTGCTTTCCTGGAGATGGCCGAAAACCTGCTTTCCCATGGAATGTGGTAAAAGAATTCTTTGGTTTGCTTTGCTTGCATGTGCAGCCTTTGCTTTACCTACTGAACTGTCTATGTCTCAACTCACAGGTTTTCTCGCTTTTACCTTTCTGACTGTCTGCCCCATCCCACCAGGGGGAGTGAGCAAGTGTCTGTGTGGTGCTTAGTTGCCAGCTGGGGTCAAACCACAACTCTTGGCCATTTTAAAACCACGCGGATGGTTTTCAAAACTGGCAAGTGCACCTAGGTTCAGAGCAGTTACACATTAAATGGTAACTGTTAAAGATCAACCAATGATTTCTTCTCAACTTTACTCCAAAACCTTGGCTTCTGCCAAAGATAGTGGAGGATGTATCAGTAATTCACTGGCCATATATATCATTCAACCAGGAAATTCCATCACTGCCAAGTTTAACAAAGGGAATGCAATTCCATATTAACTATTAACTAAAGTCTCATTTCAGAGAAAGCTATAAATTCCTTGGGACTCAGGCAAGGTTTTCTTACATGACAGAAAACTGAGCAGAAAGGGAACGTAGGTGAGTTGTTTTATGAGCTCCCAAAGGTTTTCCATTTGTTTCTTGCTTTTGTGGGGAAAAAAAAATAGCATTCTAATCTATGTATCAGGCAGGAAGAGTAAAGCATTGTGAATCTTAAAATGTGGGATCTGTGGCTAAGTGCTCTTTAAGCCCACCACCCTTATCCTTAACACCAGACCCAAGAATCCAGAGATCATATTTTTTTGGCTGATGAAAATTTGGTTAGATGAATGTTATGCAAATCACATATTGAGTATAAATATTCTGCATTCTGGAACTTCAGGCCCTCATTAAGCTAAATGTTAACACCAGCACTTTTTTATAAGATGAAGACTTCAACTCTGCCCAGTAGTGCAATAGTTTTATATTGACATAACAGTCATTAAGCCAAACTCTGCCTGCCAACACAGAAATTTGATACAAGCTGCCTCGTTTTCACACAGTACATACACTGTGCTCATTATATAGATCACAGCACAGATAGATCCCAGCAGCCACATTCAGCCTCTGCAAGCAAGGAGCCATTCAGTTCTCAGTTTCAGTTCAAATGCCCACCCCTCCTCAAGCACACAGGAGTGCAATGCCATGAACCAAGGGAGTGCCGGAATGCAGCTCCTGCAGATGTATCAAGCCAGTGAAGGAGCCTGATTTAAGGTGCTGAAAGACTGAACATTGAATCCAGCTGGGCTTCAGCTGCAGCTTACACTTAGGCTATTTATGAATTACAAATCAAGTCTGGGTGCCCAAGGCAACACTGTGTCAAACACCTCAGTCAAGGTGACCTACCTGGAGTAGAATAACGCAAACTAGATCCTCCAGGGAAAATCAATCTGTAGGCATTGCAGCATGCTAGTGATTACAAATAAAATGAGACAACTGAACTGCACTGAAGAGATATAAATGTAAGACAAGATTCAGAAATCCAGTGGCAAAATCCTGAACCCCTAACTCCTAACCATCTGACATTATCATGCCAGATCCTGAGAAGTAGAGATGTTAAGAATCTCTCCTCCCCTCCAGAGACACCTTCCATTGATGTGATCCAGCTGTGCAGCCTCCTGAGCTCCAGCAAAGGCACATAGCCTGCACAGGAGCTTCCATATGGTGGGAACTGAAGTAACCAGTGAAGAACAAGCCCAGGCAGCGAGCGGTTCAAGAACAGTCTGGGAGGAATAACTGTGTCTAGCAAGCCTTCCCAAAAATAAGTATGTGTTGTGCTCCCTGAACACTACCAAATCCAGAACCGGTTTAAGGGGACATGTGATTTGAATTCCACAGGTTATTAGCACAGATGATCCCTGCCTTTTACTCCTTGTTGCAAACAATAGCATCACCTGAATAAGCAATTAGGCCGTGTAGGCAGCCTGTGGGATTGTTGGAGGCAGAGTTACTCCTAACAATACATTGCTCTAAAGAAAGCACATTTACACTTACTAGAACCAAACCAGTATTTGTGCTACACATACTACTTCTACCAACCAGAACATCATGCATCCCAAACCAACGGATACTTATCGCTCAGAACTGTGATTTTCAACCACAAGTTCTTCTCATAATGCCTAACAATGTACAAGGGAATAATGAACTACACTGTACATTGTAAATCACTTTCTCCACAATTTTCACCTCCCTCAAACTCACCCTGCAGCCTGTAGCTCAACTCGGTGAGCACACTGGTAAGTCAAGTGCAGTGCCTATGGAAAGAAGCAACCCCACAGATTTCAAGAAAAGCAGTCCATCACCTAATGTTAATTCCAAGACCCACTCTGTCATTCTGCACATAAGGTCTTTAAAAAGCAAAGGTTGTCTTAGATACCAATTCTCCTGTGTAGAGACCCAATGAAAAATAAAACTTCCCACTGTGGTGCTCACTCAGATTTAGAAAGGTTTGTTGCATACCTTCTTTATGTCCCAAACAACACCCCTCTTTGCTCAAATCTATGTCAGTCTTCTTCACCCAATCATTACCTTAAAATATTTTATCTGGAATCCAAGTCTTCCTTCCTCTGGTTTAAAACATATTTTATAGTATTTAATAAAACGAAACAACTTCGGGTACCTTCTGATATTTATCTTTTATCTTTCAGTTTATTCCATAATATGCATTATTACACTTGTTATCTCTCTATCCTCTGAGTTTCCGCTTAATCCATAAGTGTTGAACCACTAGAGCGTTTCTCACTTCAAAAACTTGGTATAAAATTATGATAACCATGCAAATTCTTGTAAAATGTGCATTTCTGTAAACTTTACATGCAGCACCACATCACGCATAGTGAGCATCTCCTCAGCAGAGCACCAGCAAGGCAGTCACAACCTCAGCAGCACTGACACAGCTCTGGGCAGATCCTGCCCCTTCCCAACTTCACACACGGCCGCTTCCCCACAGCAACTTCAACATCACCCTCTCCTCCCTCTTGCCCAAACCGCTCAATTTCCAGCCATTTGTCTCGGTGTCCCTTCAATCCCACCCTTTCCCTCCCGTGCCTGCTCCCACAGCCCTGCTCCCCGCCCCATCCACTAACCCCAAAGGTTCCCCCCCGCAGGCCTCCCTCAGGCTCCCCCCTCACGCCCAGCCCCGCACCGCTCCGCTGGGGCGGCCCGGCCGGGCTCCACTCCCACCTGCGCGCCCGCCCGGCGGCCCCGCTCGCCGCTCACCGCCGGCCCAGCTCGGCTCGCTCCGGCTCCCGGTGCTTCCGGGAGCCGCGGTCCCGTCCCGCAAAGGCTCCGGCTGCCGCCGAGCCCCGCCCGCTCGGTTCCCAGGGCCGCGGCTGCAGCGAGAGCCGGCAGCGGACGGGCGGGCGCGGGGCCGGGCCCCGGCCGTATGAGGGCAGCGGCGCGGGGCACGGGCGGCTCCCGGAGCCCGCACTCCCTGCGGCCCGGGCAGCGATCCGCCCCAGCCGTGAGCGGGGCACTTCGGCAGCCACTGACACCAGCGTTTTGTATGAAACCCATCACAAATTTATTAGAGAATGGTAGGGCTGGTTCGAATTAAGGTACGGGCCTCTCAAACAGAACATTCCTGTGTTGTCCAAGAAGCAAATTGTCCACCGAATTTTGAAGATTGTAAACAGGCATAACTTTGTGCGTCAATTGCAGGTTGATTTACCGATGGCTGGCAAACGGTAGTGCTGCACATCAAAACCGGGTGAAATCCTGGCCCCGCGGAAGCTGGTAGGAGAACTTGGATCGAAACCTCTCCCACCAATTGTAAACCGTGACAGAAAAGCACACTACTAACAATGGTAATTTTAATAGCAGGCACATGTTCAATAGATAACACATTCATTAGAAGTATGCTTTAGGTGAATGCGCTTTGTTAACACCAAACAGAAGGTGGCTCTGAGAGCTCCAGAAGAGTTTACTGCAAGGTGTGGAACTGCTGCTGAACTCAAAAATGGGCCCTGGTGTTTCAGCAAGCACACTGATGTACCTGCTTGTAGATGCACTCCCAAAATTAACCTTTCAGATACACAAGGTATCACAGGTTAAACTAAATACTTGAGAAAGGGAGCCAAGATGGTATTAGTTTTATGAATTTAATTATTTCTCTATTCCTTCCAAGAAAAAAGGTTTTATTTTTCAGCAGATTTTAGTTCATTAGCCTGATCTGGGGTACATGTGCCTCATATGCTTCTTTACAGAACTCTAGGTGTTTGCAGTTGGTTTGAATGGAGTTCATAATGTCTTTGATCTGTTTCATTTTTCTAATGAATAGACTTTTATTAACCAAAAAAATTCAGTCCTGTGGAGTTTTTTTTTGTTTGTTTGTTTTGGTTTTGTTTTTTTTTTTGCTTTGCAATCTCCATATTGAATTTGCATTTGTTTACAAAATACTAAAACCAATACTCTGATACTACTTCAGTATCTTTTCTTCGGTCCCATGGAGAACTGCTTATCAGAAGTATACATTAGCCTTACCTTATGCCATGATTACCAGGCACAGTGCTCAGTTTGCATATACAACAATTTATTTCACCTTGTCCACTTTGGCTAATAACCAAATATTTTCCTAAGTATTCATTTGTCACACCAATCATTTCATGTAGGTGTTCATCGCATTCCCTATTGGAAATAAAAACATATCCTATAGGTAGGGTACCATATGCTCTCTTAAAATGCTGCCTAAAACACTGACACAACTAATGAGAACTACTAATGACTAAAACCAGAGGTAAACTAATGAGGGACATGACATACCAGCTAGACATGCAACATAACAGCCAAGTAGCATCTGCCAATTTGACTTAATGGTATTTTTTTATACATTAAGTAATTAATAATACAGATTATAATCAGTGTTTAGGATGTCAAGTAACACTACAGAAGTTCATATAGACCATTTTGATACAGCAGCAGAGAGAGCAAAGGCACTCAAAACACTGAATAACATCAGGAGTTGGGGAGTCGATTGTTTCCCAGCAGAGCTCTATAAAAAAAAAAAGAGAGAGAGAGAGAAATTTGATAAACCCATTCCTAAATAGTTCTCTTTATTGCTATTATAAAAACATGGACATTTTCAGAGAAATCTTTTTCTATTAGCCCTGTCTATTACATGGACACTTCTGACGTCAAAAGATCATGTGCCACATTTATATCAACACATATTTTTCAGTGATAGGGTCAAAAGTATAAAGCACCTATGTGGTCCCACTTTTCTTCATTTTTGTTAAGACTATTTCATTTATTATGTTGCACGTATGTTCTCCAACATTTATTCAGATGTAGGATATTTGACAGCTTTCAGTTTTCTGTGACATTTATAGGAAGAGACCAGTAGAAACTATAGAGGAAAAGTTCTTACCACTTGACTGCCGCCTGAGTAAGGTGATTGCTGAAAACAAACAAACAAACAAACAAACAAATTTATAGAGGTGTTCCCAGCCAATGGTTTCTAACACAGTTTTTTCCTGTGACCAACAAGATTTTAATAGCTTAACTCGCAGCATGGTTTTAAGTTGTTCTAGAGGAAGGTTGAGCTAATATTAACAGAGAATGTTCTCTTCAGACCAAGTCATCCCAAAATTTCTCTACACACCACCCAGGTTCTTTGTTTACTGAGAAAAGAAGATTTAAGTGCTGTGATGAAAGTATTCTTACCGGTTTCCCAGAGTAAGTGCTTCCTGAGCCAGAGCCACCCTGTGAAATAATTATGAGCCATTTAATTTTGTCATACAAGGCTGCAGTGGACCGTGTCCAAAGAGCACACAGCAGTCTTGAAAATGCCCTGGATATAAGAGGGTCTGATAGTGATTTTGGTTTTACCATTTTCACTGCACTTTTCCCCCGTTTGAATTGAATGGTCTCAAATAAGCACAGCTATGTCCTTTTTATTGCAGGAAGAGTTTCAGAGGAATGGGTCAAAGCAACGTGTCTTGTCCAAACTACAGAGTTGGAAACTGAAACAATTACCCTGATATTTAAATGCATCATTCTTATCAGAATGACCAACCGTGTTCCTATGAGTAAAAATTTTGCTGTGGGAGGAATAAATGCTGCTTCATCCTAAGGTTCAAGCTTGAGCAAAATATTCCAATTTTCATTGATAATTTTTCTCACACATTTACTATTGTAACATAATTTAAAATTTTACCCTCGTTGTTACCTATCTTAAAACCCAATATCCCCATTTCTAATTTGATTGCAGAATACTGAAAGAAGAATATCCTTACTGGCTTTCCTTGTTGACTGCCTCCTGAGGAAGAGGAACCCTGAAAAAAGATACTTGTTTTTGACTCTAAGTCTATTTGTGCTTAAATAGTCTTGCTATCTGTAATTAAAGACCAGAGAAGAATGAACACTGTTTTGTATCCAGTCATCCAAAAATCCCAGGCAAAACCTTATCTGAAATACATATATTTAACATCTTCTGTGATGTATGTTCTTTCAAATGTTGTATTGGAAAATTTTATGCAAAATTCTCAAGAAAAAAGAACTGGTTTATAGTTGTGTTTAATATATGGAATAGAAAAAATAATAAGGTCCAATTAAACCATAATTCTCCTGGTATCAGTCTATGGTTATATTTGGGGAAAAAAAGACAGTACCAACAAAAAAAGGCTAATTATAAGAGGCCTTTACTCTATACCCCCTACTTAAAGGAAACTCTAATAAGAAAGGTAGTTGAAAATAAAAGCAGATACAGAAAATTAGATGTTCTGAAAGCATCTTATTCAGTTTTCTGGTGAAGTGGCTCTGCTTATTTGAATGGCATTGCCAACGGGAAATGTTACAATCATTAAGTCTTTAAGAAATGCCATCAAATACATACGGAAAATGTCTCACCTTTAGAATTCATGAATTAGAAAATGTAACATTTATGATCACTTTTTAATAACAAGTACATCTTCTCTATAAGAATAAGCTAAAACATTTGTATCAACTGTAATTGAATGGCAAGATTGAGGTCCAAATTACACAGTAAAAAGAGTAGTCTGAAATGGTAGAAGTTTAAAATATGCATAGTTAAATGGCAACTATTATTTCCTTTGAAAAGAGAAAGTGTTTTCTTCAAAGCATGACAGAAATACTTAAGACAAATGCATACAAAATCAATGAAAAACTGAGCTCTGAGCACAAAGTGTACTATTATTATGAATTTAAACAGAAATAGCTGTTCAGAAGTTCCTTACACACACACACACACAAATCCAGTGGTCTCATTCTGTGATTACTAGTTCAGCTACACAGTAAAGTGCTGTCTCAAAACTGTGTGAAAATAAATATCGTGTTTGCATTTGCTGAGAGTATCCCAGATAAGTAAATCATGTGCCACTCTTTGCATATTAAAGTAATTCTCTAACTGTCTAGTCCATTACTAACTTGATACGGTTTTTTTTTCAGCAGGTGTATAAGAAAAGAGAAAGGTAAATTTGAATGTTTTGTACTTACTGGTTTACCGTGTTGTTTGCCTCCAGAAGGATATGAGCCCTGTAAGTCAATCAAACTTGTAATAATTGGATGTAAAATTGTCTATCACTGTCTTGAGACAATTTCTGCAGTACTTAGGACAAGTTTATTTGGGTGTTCTTTGAACAAAAAAAGGTAAATGGGATGCTTAAAATTTACACTCTGTACTACACACCACAAGAATCAAGAAAGCAGTGTTATAAAACACAGCCTGGCAACTATAATATGTTCAAAGGAATATTTCACTCAGAGCAGTAACTCATTGTAACCAAATCTTTTAGTCACCTTACTGAAACAACTTCAATCTGTATTACCTCCACTGTTTAAACTTAATAAAATGGCCAAATTAATGTATCAGTCATCATCAAGTAACTGACATGATCTAGAAGGTGTGTTAGGAAAGAGTTTGAAGTGATGGGATGGAAAGGAAATACTCACCTGCCCACCATATTGGCTGCCTCCTGAGGGATAAGATCCCTATAAAAAAAAAAGTGAAGAAAATTAACAGCAGTTACTTTTTGTTATTCTGTGCAAAATGAAACATCACAGGACTTCTTACAGGATATCTCAGTCATAATCTGGAAAGTATATTAATCTAAAAAGATGCAGTAAAAGACTTCTGATCTAATGCCTCGAAGTTCTTCAACAGCTGAAATTAATAAATTGGGCAAACAGTCACAAAACACCTGCTGAGACTGTTCTGTTCCATAAATAAATGGATCAAAAGTGTCTTACATATGGCTCTATTG